AACGCGGCAGGGATGTCCACTATCACCACTGCTATTCAACATAGTATTAGAAGTCCTAGCCACAGCAATCAGACAACAAAAAGAAATCAAAAGCATCCAAATCGCAAAGCGGAAATCAAACTCTCACTCTTTGCAGATGATATGATACTGTATGTGGAAAACCCAAAAGACTCCACCCCAAAACTGCTAGAACTCATACAGGAATTCAGGAAACTGTCAGGACATAAAATCAATGCACAGAAATCAGTGGCATTCCTATACACCAACAACAAGACAGAAGAGAGACAAATCAAAGAGTCGATCCCATTTACAATTGCACCCCAAACCATAAGATACCTAGGAATAAATTTAACCAAAGAGGCAAGGGATCTGTACTCAGAAAACTATAAAATACTCATGAAAGAAATTGAAGAAGACACAAAGAAATGGAAAAACGTTCTATGCTCATGGATTGGGAGAACCAACATTGTGAAGATGTCAATGTTACCTAGAGCAATCTACACATTCAATGCAATCCCCATCAAAATAACATCCACTTTTTTCAAAGAAATGGAACAAATAATCCCAAAATTTGTATGGAACCAGAAGAGACCCCGAATAGCCAGAGGAATCTTGAAAAAGAAAAGCAAAGCTGGCAGCATCACAATTCCGGACTTCCAGCGCTATTACAAAGCTGTCATCATCAAGACAGTACCGTACTGGCACAAAAACAGACACATAGATCAATGGAACAGAATCGAGAGCTCAGAAATGGACCCTCAACTCTGTGGTCAACTCATCTTTGACAAAGCAGGAAAGAATGTCCAATGGAAAAAAGACAGTCTCTTCAACAAATGGTGTTGGGAAAATTGGACAGCCACATGCAGAAGAATGAAACCAGACCATTTCTTTACACCACACACAAAAATAGACTCCAAATGGTTGAAAGACCTAAACGTGAGACAGGACTCCATCAAAATCCTAAAGGTGAACACAGGCAGCAACCTCTTCGACCTCAGCCGCAGCAACTTCTTCCTAGAAACATCGCCAAAGGCAAGGGAAGCAAGGGCAAAAATGAACTATTGGGATTTCATCAAGATAAAAAGCTTTTGCACAGCAAAAGAAACAGTCCACAAAACCAAAAGACAACCGACAGACTGGGAGAAGATATTTGCAAATGACATATCAGATAAAGGGCTAGTATCCAAAATCTATAAAGAACTTCTCAAACTCAACACCCAAAGAACAAATAATCCAATCAAGAAATGGGCAGAAGACATGAACAGACGTTTTTCGAAAGAAGACATCCAAATGGCCAACAGACACATGAAAAACTGCTCAACATCGCTCGGCATCAGGGAAATCCAAATCAAAACCTCAATGAGATACCACCTCACACCAGTCAGAATGGCTAGAATTAACAAGTCAGGAAATGACAGATGTTGGCGGGCATGTGGAGAAAGGGCAACCCTCCTACACTGTTGGTGGGAATGCAAGCTGGTGCAACCACTCTGGAAAACAGTATGGAGGTTCCTCAAACAGTTGAAAATAGAGCTGCCATACGATCCAGCAATTGCACTACTGGGTATTTACCACAAAGATACAAATGTAGGGATCCGAAGGGGTACGTGCACCCAATGTTTATAGCAGCAATGTCCACAATAGCCAAACTGTGGAAAGAGCCAAGATGTCCATCGACAGATGAATGGATAAAGAATAAGTGGTATATATACACAATGGAATAGTATGCAGCCATCAAAAGGAATGAGATCTTGCCATTTGCAACGACATGGCTGGAACTGGAGGGTGTTATGCTGAGTGAAATAAGTCAATCAGAGAAAGACATGTATCATATGACCTCGCTGATATGAGGAATTTTTAACCTCAGGAAACAAACTGAGGGTTGCTGGAGTGGTGGGGGGTGGGAGGGATGGGGTGGCTGGGTGATAGACATTGGGGAGGGTATGTGCTATGGTGAGCGCTGTGAATTGTGCAAGACTGTTGAATCACAGATCTGTAATTCTGAAACAAATAATGCAATATATGTTAAAAAAAAAAAAAGAAGAAGATAGCAGGAGGGGAAGAATGAAGGGAATAAGTCGGAGGGGGAGACGAACCATAAGAGACGATGAACTCTGAAAAACAAACTGAGGTTTCTAGAGGGGAGGGGGTGGGGGTATGGGTTAGCCTGGTGATGGGTATTAAAGAGGGCACGTTCTGCGTGGAGCACTCGGTGTTATGCACAAACAATGAATCATGGAACACTACATCAAAAACAAATGATGTAATGTATGGTGATTAACATAACAATAAAAAAATTAGTCCTTCTTTCTTTTTGTTGTAATTATGAGATTGTTTTCCTCTCTTTTCCAGAGTCTTTATCATAGGGATTGTGCTTATTATCTCTGTATTCCCTAAGACTTAGCACACTTTCTAGCTCAATAAATGTTGAATCAATAGAGGTGTGTGCTCTGTGGACAAAGAAGTGAGCATCAGGGGCCAGGAGAGGTGGGGGTTGTCAGGGAACACTTCACAGGGGAGATAACATTGTAGCAGAGTTTTGAATAAAAACAAGAGGTTCCCAGACCTCAATTATTTGTATTCTTCCAAAAATGCCCTGTTCTTTCTCTGCTTTGTTGTTCCTTTTGCCTGAAATGCCCTTCCTCGCCTTTTCCACCCGGTGAGCTCCTAGTTATCCTTCAAGGATGAGCTCAAATACCTGTTTGCCTCTGCTTTTATTTGTGGGGAGTTTGCTTGGGTACAGGGGGACGAGAAAGGAGTCTGTGACAGAAGAAGAGACAAAATGGAAGAAGGTGGAGAAGTGGAAGGTAGAGGCCCCTGAATGTCTAGGAAAAAAGAAAAAGGCTGGACGCAGTTTGCTTGGGAAGGTGAAGGACAGAGGTTACAGAAAATGTTCCAAAGCCTTTCTGTGAGACATTGGACACAAGGAGAGCTGCTTCGGGGCCCAGGTGATGTGATTTTGTTACCAGTGAGAAGAACCCCACAACTCAAGAAATTCCTCAAAGCTTTTGCCTAGCTATCAATGTTATCTTTTAGAAACAAGCTAAAGAATTGCTGGAACAGGAAAAGAAATATTTTGAATAGGATCCCCCAACCCCCCCTCCATCCCCTGCCCCCAGTACATGCCTGGGGAGATGACTCATAAAGTGCCCAATGGTTACCTCAGCTTCATCATAATGTTAAAATCCCTGCCCTGGGAGGGCATAAGCCTCATTAGCATAACATACAATGTATGTGTAGGCATGTTTTCTGAGTGAGCATGAGCAACTCTATGCCTGCCCATTACATGCAATGAGGAGGAACTCCCTCTCTGCATATTCATCCCAGAATTCAATGAGAGGAGCCTGCTTATCTTCAAATTTAATGCAATCTCTATGCAAAAATACTAATAGCATTTTTCATAGAACTAGAACAAAAAAATCCTAGAATTTGTATGGAACCACAAAAAACCCGGAATACCAAAGCAATCCTGAAAAGGAAGAACAAAGTTGGAGGAATCACAATTTCAGATCTCAAGATATACTACAAAGCTGTAGCAATCCAAACAGTATGACACTAGCATAAAAAAGACACATAGATCAATGGAACAGAATAGAGAGCCCAGAAATAAAAGCAGTTATATGGTCAATTAATCTTCAACAAAGGAAGCAAGAATATACAATTGGGAAAAGACAGTCTCTTCAACAAATGGTGTTGGGAAAACTGGACAGCTACATGCAAAATAATGACACTGGACCACTTTCTTACAGCATACGCAAAAATAAACTCAAAATGAATTAAAGACCTAAATGTGAGACATGAAACCATAAAATTCCTGGAAGAAAACACAAGCAGTAACCTCTTTGACATCAGCCGTAGAAATATTTTTTTAAATATGTCTCCTTTGGCAAGGCAAACAAAAGTAAAATTAAATGATTGGGACTATACCAAAATAAAAAGCTTTTGCACAGTGAAGGAAACCATCAACAAAACAAAAAGACAACCTACCAAATGGGAGAAGATATTTGCAAATGATATATCTGATAAAGGGTTAACATCCAAAATATACAAAGAACTTATATAACCCAACAGCCTCAAAACAAATAATCCAATTAAAAAAATGGACAGAAGACATGAACAGATGTTTCTCCAAAGAAGACATCCAAATGGCCAACAGGAACATGGAAAAAGTGCTCAATATCACTTGCCATCAGGGAAATGCAAATCAAAACCACAATGAGATATCACCTCACATCTGTCAGAAGGGTTAAAATCAAAAGCACGAGAAATAACAAGTGTTGGTAAGGTTGTGGAGAAAAAGGAGCCCTCCTGCACTATTGGTGGGAATGCAAATTGGTGCAGCTGCTGTGGAAAACAGTATGGAGGTTCCTCAAAAAATTAATGATATGATATGATATAAAATGATATGATCCAGTAATTTCACTACTGGGTATTTACCTAAAGAAAATAAGAACACTAATTCTAAAAGATATAGGTACCCTTATATCTTTCATTGCAGCATTATTTACCATAGCCATGATACAGAAGCAACCTAAGTGTCCATCCATAGATGAATGGATTAAGATGTGGTATGCACACAATGGAATATTATTCAGCCATAAAAAAGAATGAAATCTTGCCATTTGCAACAACATGGATGATCCAGAGGGTGTAATGCTAAGTGAAATAAGTCAGGCAGAGAAAGACAAATGCCATATGGTCTCACTCATATGCGCAATTTAAGGAACAAAGCAAAGAAAAAAGAGAGAAACCAAAAAGCAGACTTTTAACTATAGAGAACAAACGGCTGGTTGCCAGGAGGGAGGTGGGTGGGGGTGGAGGTGGGGTAAACAAGTGAAGGGGATTAAGAATACACTCATCATGACGAACACTGAGTAATGTATATAATTGTTGAATCACTAGATTATTACCCTGAAACTAATGTAACACTGTATGTTAATTATACTTGAATTTTAAAAAATTGACTTAAAAAAGAGAGAGAAATAAAGGAGACTGCTTACTCCTGTTTGGGGAGTCACAGCTTTGGAAATTATTCTCCATGTTCTCTTTATTTGCTGCAAATAAAGAAGACTTCATAAGGCAACTTCAGCTGGCATAGTCTCTCTCTATAACTCACCCCAGACCCGACCCACATTGGTCCAGGAACAAATTCTGGTGACCCAGATGGGACTCTTGTCCTTCTGAGGTTCTGCCCTCCAGTTCCCTGGTTTCCAACAGGCAGAGCGGAGGGCAGTGGCAGCTGGTCCTGGGCTAACCCATTCAAGCTCCTGGGGATGCTCCGGGCGCAGATTCCTCGTGGGGCTCTCCCTCCTTGGTGTCTATAACTGCCACCAGCGTTGAGATCTCCCCTGAAATCCAGCGGCCACACTGAGTATGTTTACTCAAAATGATCTCTGCTGGCATAAGCTGGGTCGACAGCACAGCTTTTAGAGGTAAATTAGAGTTGTCTCCCAAAGTCTGAGTAAATCAGGAAAAACAGGAAGATGGCATAACCTGGCTCTTCAGGAGGCTTGGATGCTCCTGGTGAAATGAGAACATTCCTTTAAAGACTAGTCAGAGGGTAAATTTGGGTGGTCCCTCTGTCAGGGACTCTGGACACTGTTGTTCTGGTATCCAGTGCTTAGAGTCTGGGAGATTGCCAGACATCTCCGTCCTGGCTGATCTAATATCTGGGTCATATGTTTATACTCAATACACCGTTGCTGATTGTTTGGATCACCACCCTGGCTACTTGGCCTTTATGTACCTTGCCCTTCCTTTCTTTTCTTTCCTGGCAATCTGTAAGTAGGGATCCCTGGTTCTCTGGTTTACCTTCCCTTTTACTAACTGATAAGAGAGACACCCCAGAGTCCTTGGCAGTCTCCAAATGTCTTTTAAGAAGACACTGGGGCATCTTTCTTTCTCTAGCTTTTTTTTTAAGGACAAGCCACTGGAGTCTTAAATATTCTGTGAGCAAGATGGTGTGACATTTGTGTCACTGCTACTCACTGTAAGCTACCTGTGTAGGTTAGGAGACTCTAAGGAAAATTCCCAGAACATGGGACCAGTTCTACTCCGAGGGAAAGCCCGTGGGCTGTAGCTTCCAGAACTGGAAGCTCCTCCTGGATACTCGCCCTGGACGCAAAAGCAAGTGATCTCCTTTTGCAACATAGCCTGGCCACAATATACTGTAGAGGATGGAGAAAAGTGGCCAGGAAATGGAACTTTAAAATTCAATGCCACGTTGCAATTAAAATTATTTTGTAGAAAAGTAAGAAAATGGGAAGAGATCCCATATGTTCAATCCTTTATGCAACTATACCGAAATGAAGATTTATAAAGGAAATGTAAAATTTGTGGGATAAATGTGGAACCTAAAACTTCAAAAATACTTCCCATATTAAATCTGATGAAGAACTATTCCTTTAAGTCAGAAGACATAAAGCTAGAAGCCATTTGCCTCAAATCCCTTCTACAGTTCCAAGTCAGCCATTAAGTCGTAATAAACCTCTGCCTTATTTCCTTGGTATCCAGATCCTTAGTGACACCCAGACCCCAATTCCTCCAGCCCCATCAGTGCTAACCCCTGATTTCCCATTAACACCTCCCCAAGCAGTCCCCGATGTCTCCTCCCTTACCAGATAGCACTACTAGATTAGGGACCCGCTTCCAGCCTGGGGCTGGAATATTCCCATTTAGACAGGTCCCTCACGGTCACAGACGTCTCATTAATGTGCGTGTCCTCTTTTCAACATCAGACCTGTGTGACTGGAAGGCACACCAGGGGACTATGAGCTGATCTAGTTGAATTTATAAATTTACTGTATATTTTCTATGCACAGTCCAGTCTGGGTGGACATCCAAGCTTTACTAACCATCCTCCCAAAGGCAGAAGAAAAGTCTGTGGTGGTGGCAAAAGCCAGAGAAGGGGCTGAAAGACTATCAGTCCGGAGGTAACCCAGGGTTAGGAAGGAAGACACGTGGCTGAGAGTCCCCGCCCTGCCCTCCCCCGCTCCCCCACCCGTGGGATCAAGAGGCCTCTGACAGAGTTAGGTTACAGTCAGGGTGCTTACTATAAACAGGAAGGGCAATGGAAACAGAATTGCTCCCACGGCCCACAAAAGGAGGATGGGCAAAACTGAATCATCCCAGCTGCCCCTCAGCAAGGATGGGATGTGATGGGACCGTGGGGCTCCCAGGTCAGCTTCAGATGACCAGATCCTCATTTCCCATGAGGAGCCCTGGTGACCCTCGCAGTGGGGAGGAGAGTCGGTTGAATTTTCGCTCAATACTGGAGCCGCTTCCTCTGTGTTGAGCACCCAAAAGGGTAGCCTTTCTAACACAAAATGTAGTATAAAAGGAGTCTCGGGAAGAGGAGAAACCAAAAGATTTCTGGAGACTCTGACCTGTGGCATCGGGTCAACATGATGAAAGCACTCTTTTCTTTATGCACCAGAACGTCCTCTCTTCCTCTTTCAGGAGGAGACATTTCATCCAAACTGGGAGCCTTAATTAGTTGGGAGCAGGAAAGGATAGAGATCCAAGTGTCCAGGTCCTAGGGAGCTAAACTCACGCAGGTTAACCTGGACGTCTGAGCACCAGGACAACTGGGATGTGCCCACAGTGCCACACTAGTGATGGTGGAATTAAAACAGATCGATCAGACGCCCGGGTGGCTCAGTCAGTTGAGTGTCTGCCTTCGGCTCAGGTCATGGCCCCAGGGTCCTGGGATGGAGCCCCGCATCAGGCTCCCTGCTCAGTGGGGAGTCTGCTTCTCCCTCTGCCTGCTTCTCCCCCTGCTCATGCTCTCTCTCTCTCTGACAAATAAATAAAATCTTAAAAAAAAAATAAAACAGATTGATCATTGGCTTGGGGTAAGGCAACACCCCTTAAAACCAGAAGCTATAAAAGGGATCTTCTGGGTAATAAATAGACTCTTGGAACAAGGGTTGATCAGGCTGTGCAGATCCCCATGCAATACCCCAGCTTACCCATTAAAAAGCCAGGGAGCAAGGAACAAATTTGTTCAAGGCCTCCAAGCTGTTAATGAGGCTACTTGAGACATACATCCTGTAGTATTCAATCTGTATACCCTGTTAGACAATTAGCCAAGTGATAGTAAATATTACACTGTGTTAGATTTAAAGAAGACCTTTTTCTGCTCCCCATTAGATTCTGAATCCCAAGAATTATTTGCCTTTGAGTGGGAAGGCGTCAGCCCCCCAAGAAAACAATACTGCTGGACTGGTTTACCTCAGGGATTTAAAAAATTCCCCCACTCTCTCTGGAGAAATCCCAGAACAAGCTTTAAGAGTTAACTCTAGAAAAGAGTACTCTCATGCAACGTGTGGATGGTATTCCAATAGCCAGCCTCACTGAAGATATTCTGACAAAAATACTATATTCATGTTAAATGTTCTAGTTAGCAAGGGATATAAGGTATCAAAAGAAAAGGCTCAAATTTCTAAGGAAGGTGTAAAATGCTTGGGGCTTATTATTTCTAAGGGGGCAACAAGGTCTTCCTCAAGAAAGAAAAAGCAGTATGTCAGCCAGACCCACCAAGGACCCCCAAGCAATTGTGGGGGATTTGGGGAATGTCTGGGTTTTGCTGCATCTGTGTTCCTGACTTTGGGCTAATCATGAAACCCCTTTATGATAAGCTCCGGGGACCTGAGACCCACCTGTTTGAGTGGGATAAAACATGTGATCAAGATTTCAATAGACTTAAAGCCCTCCTTTCAGAAGCCCCCAGCCTTGGCATTACCAGGCTTTGAAAAGCTATTTGATTTATATGTACATGAAAGACAAGAAGTGGCTATGGGGGTGTTAACCCAAATGCTGGGGCCCTTGAAGAGAACGGTAGCTTATTTCTCTAAATGGTTGGACGTGGTGGCCAGCGGTTGGACTCCCTGCCTGAGCCACATGCCTTTCGATCAAAAAGGCAGAGAAAAACTGCAGGTCAGCCCACAACAGTCTGGACCCCATACCTGGTCTCTGGTCTATTGGAAACCAAAGGACCTCTGTGGTTATCCCGGCACAGACTACTGCGATGTCAGGCCATGCAGCTAGACCCCATGCCACACTTTCAACCCAGCCACCTCACTTCCTGATCTTGATCCACCTACTACCCACAGTTGCCCAGAAGTAACGGATCAAGTGTACTCTTTGGAGCCCTGTCCAATGCAGAGGAAGGCTGGTTTGTAGACGGCAGCGGTTTCATAGGAAATGGGCAAGACAGGCAGGTTGTGTGGTTGTGTCCCTAAACACTCTTGTGGAGGCTAAGAGGCTGGCCCCAGGCTCCTCAGCCCAAAACGCAGACATAATTGTGCTAAGCAGAGCTTTAGAGTCGGGTCAAGATCAACTGGTACCTATTCACCCTGATTCTAAATACACCTCTGTAATCCACTCTCATGGAGCCATATGGAAAGAAAGAGGGTTCTCAAATGCTGGAAATAAAGAAATCAGATATGGCAAAGAAATCCACGGGTTGCTGGAAGCAGGGCAGAAGCCACTACAGGTGGCAGGGGGCATTCACTGTAAATGCCACCAGAAAGGAAATTCCAGAAGTAATACCGGGAGGTCGTATGGCTGACGCAGGCACGGAAAGTTCTGCTAGATCAGGGGAGAGTTTGCAGAGGCCAGTAATCCCTTCTTTGCCTCTTTATCAGTCTACCCCCACCTGCTCCTGAGATGAAACAGAAGAGGCAGCAAAGATGGGCTCCCTGTGGTCCCTGATAATCGGAGACTGGATGACAAAGAGCAGTGGGAAAGTCCAGGCACCCAGCAAACTGTCTGGGGGGTTTCTAAGAGTGCACATGATTCAACGCATTATGGCCAAGAAGCTTTATGCCCAAGAAGCTTTATGCCCGTGGTTAACAAAGATTATAGACATTCCAAGGATGAGAGAGGTTATTAAAAGAATAGCAAACCGGTGTGTCTACTGTCAGACAAATAATATACAAGCCAGGCCTCTGGTACCCCCTTTAGCCGTGGTACCTCAGACTGGGAGGCACCACCCGGGGAAGATTGGCAAATGGATTTTACTGTTATGCCAGTAGCACCTGGAGTTTCAAAT